AGCTCTCTGTGACTTCAATGTCCTCGCCGCAAGCACGTACCGACTGAACAGGTTCTCCTAGCAAGTCCCCAAATTCCTGGATCTTGGTCTTGGTCCAGGAGACCTCTAGACCCAAGGGCTTCGCTTCATTACTAAATGCATCGAGAGCCCACTAGGGTTTCCAAAGACTCAGATAGAATGGCAACGTCATCAGCAAAGTCAAGGTCTGTAACCTTGATATTGCCCAGTGTTGCTCCACAATGACTTTGAACAGTAGCTCTGCCTAGTATCCAGTCCATGCAAGTGTTGAAAAGGTTGGTGCAAGAACACAGCCTTGCCTCACTCCTGAACTGACAGGAAAGAAGCTCGACAGGCCCCCACCACACTTTACAGCACTTTCAGTACCAGTATACAGGCTTGCTATTAGTCCAATAATCCTTGTTGGTATTCCTCTCAGCCTCAGGATCTCCCAAAGTGACTCCCGATGCACCGTATCGAACGCCTTCTTGAGGTCGATGTAGGCTGCAAGCAGCCCACACCGAACTCACGACGGCGCTCTACAATGACTCGAAGCGCGAGGATACGGTCTATTGTGGACTTACCAGGAGTGAATCCGGATTGCTCTGGCCTCTGATGCCTTAGTAGATGGTCTCTGATACGCCTCAGAAGGATGCGGGCAAGAACCTTGCCTGGTACACTGAGCAGTGTGATGCCGCGGTGATTGCTGCAGTCCCATCGGTCCCCCTTCCCCTTCCAGAGAGGGATGACCACACCCCTCAACAGGTCAGAGGGAACGGTACCGGACTGCCAAATGGCAGCCAGGACAGCATGCAATCCCCGCGCCATAGGTTCACCACCAGCCTTTAACAGTTCAGCTGGGATGCCGCAAATACCCGCTGCTTTACCACTCTTCAGCTTGGAGATCGCCTCCCTAACCTCAGCTAGGGAGGGAGGGTCCTCGCTAATGGGTGGGTCCGGCAGCGGAATCACGGCACTACCCACATCCAAGTTAACTGTTGGAGGGTCAACCTGATACAACTGCTCAAAGTATTCAGCCCAACGCTCCCTCACCGCAACAGGATCTGAGACGATCTGGCCACCCACTAAGCGAACTGCAGTCACCTGTGAAGAGGGCTTGGAGTTCAGTTTTCTCAGGGCTTGGTATGCAGGACGAAGGTCATTTACTAAGAAATGGCCTTCAACCTCCTCAGCAAGATTCCTAATAAACTGTTCCTTGTCCCTTCTTAACAGAGACCGAGTTCTGCGCACCTGAGAACGGTGCAAATCCCGATCCCCTGCCAGACGAGCCGCACGGCAAGCATCAGTGGCTTCCAGTGTCTCCTGAGAGATTGAATTCTGTCTTGCTCTCGGGCGTTCTCCAATCGATTCTTGGGCTGCATCAAGCGTTTCACGCTTGAAGGTGTCCCACAGAAGTACAGGGTCCGTCAGATTGTCAAGCGCTGTGAACCGATCAGAGATTGTCTCAGCAAACCTCCGAGCACACTCCCTCTCCTTCAGCCTGTCCAGATGAAACACCCTAGGGTGGTCATTGGGCCGCTGGGGAGTTTTGAAGTGTACCCGGAGGGTAGCCACAACCAATCTATGGTCAGTACCACAGAACTCAGCACTCCTATACACCCTGCAGTTCTGGAGGATCCTCCAACGAGTGCTAACGAGAATGTGGTCGATCTCCTTGGCTGCATTACCCGCATCGCTGTACCATGTCCAACGTGTGGGTCTGGGCGCTGGTACCAGGAGCCAGAAATCCTCAAATTCTGGGATGTTAATAATGATTATGATAATGATGGAATTGGCAATGATAATGATAATGATGAAGTGATGATGATGATGATGATAATGATGATGCTAATAATGATTATGATAATGATGGAATTGGCAATGATAATGATAATGATGAAGTGATGATGACGATGATGATGATAATGATAATGATAATACCGTTCATAATGATATTGATAATAATGATAATAATATTGATAAAAATTATACAATAATAGTAGTAATGATAATATAATGATAATGATATAAAAACAATAGTAGCATTAGTAATGGTAATGATGGGAATGATAATAATAATTATGCTGATAATGATATTACTAACAACAACAAAAATTCATGATAGTAATCATGATAATGATATATGATAATAATAATAATAATAATAATGATAATAATAATAATAATAATAATAATAATAATAATAATAATAATAATAATAATAAAAAGAATAATAATGATGATAATAATAATAGCAATAACAATAATGAAAATGCTGATAACCACAATAAGATTAAGATGATAAGAATAGTAATACTACTAATAATGATAATGATAAAGATAATGATAAGAATAACAATAACAATGTTAATGATAGTAATAATGATGAAAATAATGATGATGATAATGATAATGATGATGATGATGATGATAATAATAATAATAATAAATAATAATAATAATAATAATATATATAATAATAATAATAATAATAATAATAATAATAATAATAATAATAATTGTAATAGTAATAATAATGATGATGATAATAATAATAATGATAATAACAACAATAGTTATAAATGATATTGATGTTGCCGGTTATTCTTATTGTTATTATTTTGAACGTGCAAAATGAAAAGCTGATAATAAAGATAAAATAGTAAAATAAAAAACTAGGAAATTCTATATTTACGCGAGATGTAAAACTGTACACTTTTAGTAAACGTAGACGTCGCTCAATTGCCTAATACGGTTAAAGACTCCTTTCTGTAGAACATGGACATACATACTTCAAAAAACATGACAAAAAGACCCTCTTCCAAGACTATGGCAACGAATCCGCTCAAACCCGGCGCGCGTTCGCCTACCAATGACGTCACCCGTTCTCGCAACATCCATGACATCATCAGAGGGCAGCACAGGCGCCATGGCCGTCTGTTAACACTTCGGCCGGGAATCTTCGTGGGGCTCGTGCTCAATTTCCCGACTAACCGTGGCCGCGACCAGGAAATAAGGGCGAGATGGGTGCCACCCAGAGCACCAGGAAGATCACGCTCGTCAACGATGACAAGGCGGGCGTCATCAAGGTGAGGGAGCGAGAGGGAGCGAGCGGGTGCCGGGTGTCCTCCTCTCGACGTGTTTTGGGCTCTCGGGAGGAATAACAAAGCGTTATTTTTGTCATTCTTGTTGGAAAAGGACGAGGGAAGGAAGATAATGGGACGATTGTTGGTTATTGCGGGTTTCTTTACGATTCTGACAATGTTTTTATTGCAAGTCATTCCACTCTTATAGGCTTTTGCAATTGCTTTTAGTTGTGGAAAAGTTTGTATTTATTATGCAGAATGATTTTCAGGGATTTTCAATAGTGGCGTATTGTATTGGGAATTCTAGACTTATATTTACAGTAATTATATTTGTCAGCTGTGATAGTTATGTAACTATATTTTTTAGCAGAATACCCTCATTCGCAATCAATTCCCGAAATACACTTGACAAATATACTTATGTATCTTATGTTTCAAGATTATAGACACATATTAGATATTCAAAAGACGCCAGCACTTCCACTTCTTGTCCGGCATCAACTGGCCGTTCTTCCGCGTCTGCCGGACTTGGGGCTGGTTCTGTGCCTGATGACAGATTGCCCGAGAGATCTATGAGCTCGCATGCCAAAAGAGGTTAAGGTTGTTTATGTTGTCGTTAGCGAGCTTTTACCAACAGGTGTAAGGCCCTTAGCAGATATGTGAGATCCTCTAAATATTTATCTTGTGTTAGTATTCACTTGTTTGTTATATAAGTATAGTTTATTTCCCACAGCCTTGTTGTACAAGGTAGAATTTGGTTGTAATGAACGGAATGATCGAAAATAAGACACTTTTCATCTATGATATCATCTTCGCAAGTTGATAATAAGAAAGCTGTGAAAGTTGGCACTACAGTAATCAAAGAAAAACTACATTCCCTAATACATGAAATTAAGAAAGTAGGTCGTTGAAATTCCACGTGGAGAGCAAGTGCAAGGCAATCAGATAGAGGTCTGGAGGCTGAACCCCCGACAAGGAAATACGTTGATTGGTTTGGATCTGGGGCCAAAAGCCCCGATTAGGAAGGTTTTTGGTTCTCATGGCAATGTGTGTGGATTATAGGGACTTAAGCTCAGAGGGATAAAGTCACTTCTAAATATTACCTATAATTTCATTATATATGCGATGGAAAATAACAAGAGATAATGGATATTACAGATTTATGGATACAGCATTGATGATTGAAAGAAGGAATAAGGATTGCTAGATTGGATGGCTGCGTGATGCTGTAAAATTACCATTATATATTATAATTTGTGAAATATCTAATGTGTTTTCTCATTTTTCTAAGCACTGGTTAATTGTAAATCATTGACTTCACTAGAATGGGTTTGTCCAACCTATAGTGATAATAACACTTGTCCAATTTTTTGCACATTACTGATTTTAATTCAAAGCCTTCCATCTCACCTTAATGGCTATTGTTTAAGAAAAATGGAATTGTATAGAAAATGATTGGGTACAAGATCAGTGCATTAGTCTTGTCAGCATTAAGATTTTCACTTGAGGCAAAGTGAAATAAACAATAGTATGGATTTTTCAATGATCACCATTAGTGATATTTTGATATTGATTTCTTTGTTTGTTTTGTCTTTTTATTCACTTTCACGTAGGTAAGTGTTTAAGAGACACTGAAAGTGGCATTCAAGACTGGTCTTTATGTCCTGTATAGCTACACAAATTGCCAGTGTAAAGTTTTACAAGACACACTTGTATAAATAGTTGGCATGCACTTCTTTGGTACTGCTGCAAAGGCCAACAAACCTTTATCACTCATTTTCTCACAAGATAATAGCATATAGATATCCATGTTAATTTGCCACTTGATTAAGAATCAGCCCAAGGTCTATCTTTCCTGTATTTTTATTTTCCCTCTTCCTTCCTTCCTTCCTTCTTCCTTCCTTCCTTCCTTCCTTCCTTCCTTCCTTCCCTTTTCTTAAGTGCTGAAGGTGCTCGGTCATGGCAGTAGTTGGACAGTGGGTTATTGTTGAGTTCATTTTGATCATCTGACTGTAAAGGTTGTTTCAAGGTCAGACATGACATATGAGTAGTCTCTGAATGACTAGAGCTTATGAAAATGTCTATGGTGTGTGCTGTGGAGAAGTGTTATCTGTTGAAATGTGTGTGCCTTTGATGGCCTCTTACAGTACAGATAATGGTTCTAGGAGCGTGGATAAACAGTTATTAATGTGCTAGAACCCAGTCTCGAATTCATTCCCTTTTACCAGTGCATGCTTAGTATTTTGTCCAGGTGGTAGTTATACAATAGTGGTAACTAATTTTGGATACAGTGATTGTGTATTGTAATCAGAGTCCATTTCTTTTTAAGGAATGTGCATGCTAATAATAGTCAACTCATTATTAATATTATACGCACTTCAAATCATGCACTTCCTTTCCAAAGTAAAAGTTCCTCATTAGAAGAAAAAATACTTTAAAAATTAGAATTAAATTGGGAAAAGAAGTTTCCAATGGAAATTTAATTTATGGTGATCAGTCTGTCCATCTAAATGTTATAGAACATTTAGTTACCTGATAAAAACCTTAAAAGTATCTATATTTTAGCAAGGCTATTCCCAAAATGTTAAAAATCATTATATGTATGACAACAAGATTGCACAGTTTAAGATGTGATATATCATGCACAGAAAGTGACTGGACTGCTATTGGGTTAAAATTACATCCAGATTACAACAAATTAAGATGGAATTTAGATACGAATAAAACCTGTGTAGATATTACTGTCTTGTTTTAAAAGCCATTCCAACTGTCTTGTAAACATTATCACTTTTCTCCAGTTCAGGCTGGAGAGAACACTTAACATGCATTATCCACTGCGTTTCGGTAAATTTTACTGCAGATAACAATCAGGGTGACGTAAAAAAAAGTGTTGGAATGAAATTACCTTGACATAAACTAAAGACACTTTTTCATATGTGGCATAAGGTGCGCAAATCGAAAATAAAGGAGATACATGACAGAGAAGAGAGAAGATCAACCCATCTTTTTCTAAGATTTCGCCATGTTGACATTGCGAATGTAAAAAAATCATGACCACTTAACTCAATCCTGTGCTCTCTCAAGTAGTTTATGTATTAATACGCATTTGTCAAAATGACATTGGCTAATTATCAGTGTCTGATGTTACCCTTTATGCTTTCAAAGGCCTTTGTTAATGTTGTTATATCTCATTTATGTGTCCTAAGATTTACTATGCAGGGATTTACAGGAATCGGTCTGAAGAACCTTCTGCACATGCGCATTTTTGCGTTTCTAGCAGCCAGGTTGATTCTGGGTTATTCTTAAGACTATGCAGTGGCAACAAAGAAGAAATAGACCTCTATAACTATCGTAATTTGATATCTGGGCCCGTCAAGTCCCCCAAATGCAGGAAAACATGATTAGAAACAAAGTGATCCATACAATAGACTGACCAAAACAAATGAAGGGAAGTTGGACAGTTCGGTGTTTCGATATATAAAGGCATTTGGTTTATTGTTTACAGTATGGATGTAGCTCTATCTTGCTGTACATACCGAGGTGAAAAGAATGTGTCCTGGGGGGTGTTGGGGGCAGAGCCCCCCCATCAACCCTCCCTCGAGCAGTACCTGAAGTTCATGCCTAGTCACAGCACCGTAAATTGCTAGGCTAGGTTGGGTTATGGGATAGGACATCTTTTGGGTGTTTGGAAGGTCTGTAGGCCGAATTTTGGTGCATCGATGCGTAGACTTTCAAAGTTGGTGGGCATGTCTGTAGAGATTCATTAGCAGATTTTTAACAATTTTTGTGCTAGTCTTATGCATTTCTGTTCCGTATGTTTCTTATTTAAACCGTTTTACCCCATAATTTCCCTGATATACTTCATGCCCTCCCCTACTATTGGGACTTAACACATCAAGATCGTTGGCTATGATTGCTACGGAAACTATCATCAGACTCTTTCTCGTCACACGAGAATAAATCTGATGATATAAATTTTGTCTGGGAAGTCCCGATTGTCTTAATCGAAAAAACAACTGCAGTTTTAGCTTATTAATTTTGTGTACACACAGGTGGCTCCCCAAGTGTGTAGGCACTAGAAAGTTAGTTCCTGATCTCACCTTGAATTTTTTATTTTGAAAAATGTATTTTCATTACTATTAGTATTATTAATAATGGCATGCTAATGTTAGTGTCAATAATAATTACATTGATAATGAAGATAATGATAGAACAAATAAATGTTTCACAGAATTTATGGAATGAAGTAAACAGGTAAGGTCAGGCATGTCTAGTATTTTACATGTTGGTGACTAAGCACTTATGGTTAATGAATGGAAGCAATGAAGTATGGTTTGGAAGTAGAAACACCATTTAAGCTAAAGATTTGGGTAAGCATATGCAGATGGTTTGTGTCAAGGATATTACTAGCGCTAAA